AACTTCAAAATGCCGAATCTACTCCGAAGGTACTTTTTATAGTTTTTTTTTTAATTATTTTTATATGAATGCACATTGTAATTAACTACTTTTTAGTAATACCTTAAAATTTGAAAAGTTTTATATACATCTGTAAAAATACAAAAATCGTACATTTAAATAAATTTATTAGCTAGAGATTTCAAACTCTGTGACAGTTATTTATATCGATATTCCATACCTAATAGTACGTTTACATTATACCGGATTTCGTTAACCCAGTGGGTTTCAATTGTCAATTCCATTTTATATATGTCAAATAAATCCTCATAGGTTAACCCCGCAAAAAGTTCTAATGTAAATGCCGAATATGTATCGAATCTAGTGATGTACAGCTTCATATCGAAAACGAGATTGCCGAATGTGCACCGATGCCGAAGGTGCCCCAGTCCCACAATTTGTGATAAGATTATTATTTTATAATATTAGGTTGGTAAAATAAATCCATTATGTTTATATGAACTATGGGCCAAATATGCACCGTTTTGTTGTATGATTTGTTGCCATTTTAAAGGTCAACTTCAATAATTTCTCCTATTTTATTTACATTTTCGTCGTCCGGTCTGCCTGTGCAAGGTGCATATTTATCATCCGAAATTCTTGAAAGGAATCTACGAACCAAAAATTGCACATACTTGGCTGTTACAGTATCGGAACCATAAACACAATTCACAATTTAAGCCGCTTGGCTTGCATTTTTGCCCTTGTCAAAGAAAAGCTTTAAAATGTACCGTATTTTTTCTTTCTTCACTTCCATTTATAACACCCTGTAACTCACAACCAAATGCACCAAACAAAAAACACCAATTTTTTTACTGCGAAATGCCACATACTTTACGAGACATCTATCAGTACAGCGAAAAAATAATAGATAATATTTTTGGTCACACCGTTGGAAAATTCAGCCTCCATTTAAAACATCCGACAACGGCATTAGGTTGATTGACTTCGTGGCAGCAAAAGACATGGTAGTTAGCAGCACCAGATTCAAGCATTCGATATACACAAGGCCACCTGGATTTTTCCTGATCAAGCAACGAGAAATCGAATTGATCTCGTTGTGATAGACGAAAAGCATTCATCTAGTGTTTAAGACATTCGATAGATCCGTTTAGCTATATTGAAACAACTCATAATAAATAATCCCCTTCCAGTCCCTCCAAATGCATAGCATTAATTGGTGTGGCACCCAAACATCGAGCTTCTTTTTGAATCCAGCTTTATGTAAATGGTTTAAAACAGTTTTATGGTCGATTTTTAGCTCCTGGGCGATTTTACGACTGCTAACATGCCGGTCAACTTCGATCATTTCTCCGATTTTATCGAAATTTTCAACGACCGGCCTAAAGGATTTCCTTTTCCACAACCTAATATTAATAGAACATTTTCTCAATTTTTCTATGGAAAATAATCTTTGGGTCTTTTGTTTATTAAAAAAAAATGTCTTTTGTGGTTGAACTTGGTGTCAGTTTTTTTCTTCAGATAAAAACTTTTTGGTGGCTTTTTCAATATAAAAAAATAATTAAAGAAAGATTTTTTGTAGACAAAGTTATCATAATTTCCTATAAAAAATGAACATCTTAATAAAGACGATAAGCTTGTATAATTTTTGCACACTGAAATGTGTTACCTGTATTTCGCAAGTGTTTAGAAGTGTGATTGTTTCCATTCCCTGGCTTTTGATTTGATCTTCTGCATTGGTAAGTTTACACAAATAATTCTCCAAAAAGTATTGTATTATTTTTGTAATCCTGTCACCTGGCGGGTATTATTGAAATTAAATTATATTGGGTTTATGTCACAGATATTTGTAATAGCTTATCATTAAACGTTTTCAGCTTAAATAATGAAAAATACTGGTTTCGGCATTCACTACATATTTAGACAACAACCTAACAATAAAATTTACCATAACGTACTTTGTGCACAATCAAAATTAAAAAGAACCACTTATGATAGTCTAGTCTTTCTGTTATAATCTCCGAAAAAAATGAAACATGTGAAGGAATATTTTTTTTATAACCTCCACCATGAGATTCCATACCTAACATACACATGGGGACTATCATTTGGTAAATTTCTGTCAGGAGAAAATTAAATACCAAACTACAGACACTCCACTTGATAGCTTGGACTAAAGGCAAGAACTTACCAAAAATTACACTACTTGAAAACATGTACCCAATAAATTTATCAGAATCTAAAATGAACTAAAGCCACTTTTAAAATAACCGACTCATATACGGGCTAACCCAAAAATCAACTGATACTTATAATATTTGGTAGAAAGATTTGCAAAAATACCAAAAAAAGTAGTACAGTTATATGGGTTCTATACAAAAATCCTGACGGATAATGTTTTAGTATAGCCCTGTTCAATCATGGGAACTGGTGCCCTGATTAACAATGCAAATTGACTCTATTCTGTAGTTTGCATGCGAAGTGAGAGAGGGAATGGCTACCCTTCACCTCTCTCGCCTACAAACTGACAATTGTCGAAAGTAAAATTTGTAATTTTGGTATAATGAAAAACAAATGTCTATAATTCATATTTTAATTTTTAATAAACAATTTATAAAATGTATATCAATTAAATTTATTGAAAACAAAAACAGTGATCCCGTAAAAACTATGAGAGGAGAGTTAGATGTATTGTTGTCTCCCCATGACATTGATCCTCTCACAGCGATTGGGAGAGTGGGGCTTACTCATATAAACATGTGCAAAACAACAATTTGCATCGTTTATGTTATTGTTGTGATGAGAAAGCCTAACCGGCATGCCTTTTCTTGCGTTTTGCTGCAATATTTGATATTTCATTAGTTCTTTTGTCGGATTCTTACTGCGTGGACGTGTGTTTGGAATAAATTAAAAGAAAAATATTATTTTAAATTAAAAAAAACTCTTCTAATAACATAAATCAACAAAAATATTATTAAAATTTAATAAATTTTTTCGACAACATATGTGGGTATACTGTAAATTTATTTTATCATGAAAAAATGCGATAGTTGCCTTGTAAATTGTATCAGAGAAAAAATAATAACAATGGAAAATAAAATAAAAAGAGATATTTCGGGAATATGTATAGGCGTTTGCAATAATTTAAAAGTGAAAATGATCGTTTGTATTTCGCGAGTGCTTAAAATGTAATTGTGTGATGGTTTCCTTCTTCTGCCAAACAATTCAGCAAATTTTCAATATTGGTAAGTTCACACAAATAATTCTCCAATAATTATTGTTTTGTTAATATTCATTAAATATAAAGTTTTGGGCTTATGTCACAAATATGTATAATAGTTGACCACAAGGCTGCAACATACACTGAAAATGTAGACAAGAACCTCGTAATAAAATTAATTCCCGTCATCCCCATCCACCGTTACCCTCGTTGTACACATGGAAATTATTGCGTTCATTGAAAAATCCACACTTATGTTAACCTCATTCAGAGGTTTCCCTTATAAAACTCCTTGTACATTAGAACTTTTTACCGGGTTAACCTACTTTATGAGGATTTATTTGACATATATGCAAAGGAAATGACAATTTAAACCCACTGGGTTAACGAAATCCGGTTAAGTGTAAACGTACTGTAATAGTCCTTGAAAAATATAAATAATAAACTAGGTAATAACGTAGTTAAGTTCGGCCGGGCCGAAGTTTTTATACTCTTAACCATGAGATGAACATTAAAAATACCTAAAACCAATCGCAAATTGAATGTGGGGGCTTTGTCATGGCAAATTGCTGCCAGGAGAAAATGAAATACTAAACTACGGAAATTAAGTTTTAAACTTGGGCTAGGAGCACGAACATACCGAAAATTACGCTTGACATTTGTATGGGACCCATGTAGTCAAAATGGATATTAAATATGATCTTCGAAGAAGATGTTTACCCACCAACGTCCCGAAGTCCAAAGTCACATCCACTTGGTAATGCTAAAATATAGTCACACCGTTTTGAAAATGCGTGCAGAACCATAATTTTTGGTCTGAAGACCCATGAGAACACAAAATATTAGATTACCCCAGCTGGGTTGATAAACATGTTAAAAACCCTCAAAATAACAAATTATATTAAGACTATAACTGATCATGGACCAATACCGATTTACCTCCCATTAAATATCCAAATATTCCAAATATCACATATCGGGGGTCGATATATTCCATTTTCATTTTTAAGCCAAAAAACCTTGATAAACAGGAAAATTTGGCAATCATTTGCAATCAATTGCCCGTATTAACGAACAATTTTCGGTATATATTTTATGGGGTATCAGAATGATTAAATATACTCTCAACCTTATTGTAAAGGGCATAATAATCCAAATAATAATTAATATAATTCACGCCTAGATTTTTTAAAAATTTATATTTGAAAGGTCTATCACAAAAGTAGGTGGACCATTAAAAGTGTTGATTTGTGACGAATTTGTCTTAGGATAATCATGAGCGTAGTATTTTAATAAACATATTTTCAAAAGCTATGTATATAAAGAGATTATTAACAATCTATACTGATAGTCTTTAAAAATATATCCACTGAAAATCTACGCTTATTGGAGTGTCTTAAACATTATTTGCAATATGGTATCTATTCTGATTTTCACTACTTATGGACATCAATTTAGGTCGAATCTAATTTAGTAATTTATATCAAAAATCAAAATCGTGTTTCCAGACTTGGCATTCAATGACAAAATTGAAATATGTTTTGACTGTAAAAGTGTATCTACAACATGTCTGACAACTTCTATTCTATGTATTCTATTTAATTGCAACACAGTCCTCTTTAGTTAATAATTCGACGGTTGTAATAAGCTATTCCATTAACTAACACAATCCACTTGAATATTTGTCCTTAACATTTAGTTTAATTACCACGATTTCATATTTCATAAAATTAAAAATAGTATTAACAAAAATTAAACAAATTACTTTAAAATATACTGCAATTTAATAAATTAACACTACGCCGATTTCAAGTCCAATTGTTTTTCAATTTCTGTGCCTTCATACAACGCCTGTTGGCGCATAGCCTTTTCCAATTGGGCATATTCGAAACGTCTTACTGACCACTGATACCTATAGCAAATAAAACAATTTCTTAATTCATTTCACACAACCTGTGAACATTTTCCTCTTACCTGCACCATGCCCAATATGACAGTGTCCCGCAGAAAAATGTTCCAAAGCCAACGTGTGTTGATAGCTTCGTGCGAGAAGTGGCCAAAAATGTGAGCAGACCTATACCGATGCCACCACCAATACCATACAGAAAACTATTACGGAAGCAGGGAATTTGTGAGACATCACGGCCATACAGCATCAATCCCTAAAAAAAGTAATGTAGTTTTGTTTAAATTATTGGGTATTTATAGTTTTTAATTCATTGTGAAATAAACCTTTTTCGGTTCCTCCTCCATCGTGTGCTTGTGTTACGTAGTTTTTTTCTCTACTGAAGCCGACCGTGTAAAAATGTAAATATTTAGAATGTCAATTGAAAGCAAAAAGATTATCATATGTTGTGGTGCAACTTTTGCTGTGACGTGTGGCAAATGTTGACAGTCACATGTTTAACCTTTGGGGTGCTTTAGATTAAAGAAAATTATGGTATTTTTTATGTGGAGCTCAAAAGAATTTAGAGGCGTTTAAAAACTGTTAAATTAGTTTAAAATGTAGGCCAGATTACAAAGTAAAGTGTTTGTAAAAAGTAAAGTATATGTTTATAAGACAATACCGTTGACCGAGAAAAATGGTAATCGTAATTGCCAACCGATGGGCTGATTTCGCAACATTGGACACTTGCTCTACTTTTAAATAAATTAAGGGAATAATGGAAATATTAGCCTCTTAGTTTTAATATAATTAATTTAATTTTTATTCAACAATAACATGCATACCCCCAACGTAAGATGGCCTGTATATTAGATTTGTCATTCACTCAATATTCTTGATCGGAATAAAATGTTTTCGATTTACCCATTACGTCTCTTGAAATTAGTATAAAACTCGCAATATGACGTTATATGCGAATCAAGTCCGAAGATGGGAACCATTGGTCCAGTCCTTCTGATACCTCCCCCTCAAATGATCAACATTTTCAATATTTATATATCTGATATCAGGCGAATGGAATGCCCGATTTGAACCAAACTTTGCACAACCTATTATCCTTAGCAAGCCTAGATTAAGTCCAAAGGAGGGTCTGCCCCTTCTTCTGGTACCTCTCTAAAAACGATTTCGATTGAATTTTGTATATCCAAATTTATGAATGCTCGGTCCTGACGAACTTAACGAGGTCTTCCCTTGTTCTCCCCGAAGTCTAATTTTTGCAGCTGAAGAGACTTAAAACTTTATAACCTTGCTTTGTCCCATCCGGACCATGGCTATTTGTGGTAGTCAGGCTCTTCCTCATCTTGTGAGCCTGAAATGTAGTTATTTGATCAATTTCCTACTGTAGAGCTACAGGGAAATCAAGCATAATGAAAATGAAAGATTAGAGTTTCTCGATTTTTTAATTGCAAGACCATCTGCTATGATATCTCATTACACGTCTCGGGTGTCTGAAATGTAGATCACCTCATAGGTTATTTTAACCATTTCATTGTGTAGAGATACAGTGAAATTATGCAAATAAATATGACTAAACTCTCGCATTTGTCAGATTTTGCAATTGATCATACAAATTACTGTCCGCATTAAAAATCCTCCAAACGACTCTTTTGTTCGAATACCCGAATTTGAGATTACATTTCCTAGCACAGTTAAAGGGATATGCAATTGCCGGATGTGGATTGCGCTGATTCAAATAATACCAACTCCAGGGAACTGATACATGCCGTTTGATTGGCAACCGATTGTGTCCTGGAAAAAGAGAATCATAAAAATATATCCTGATGATCATTACTTTTTTCCAAAAATCGGAATTCATCTCTCAATTCAAAAAATCCGGCAATCACAATCGATATTAACTCAAAAGTAAAAAAATCGATAGTGTAATCGATTGTTTGCCAGCACTATGTAGTTGGCAACACTGTTATTATTATTTTGATTTGTTCGTGTAAAAAAACAAATTTCGTACACGACACCTAGTTTATAAAAGTATAATTTTTATAAGTTTTATTTATTTATAATAGCTAGAAATCTAGGAATTTTATACAAATGGAGGTGGCTTTCATGGAAATGGCAAAAGGTAAGAGAAAAATGAAATATTAAAGCCATGATTTGGTAAAACTTTATTTTCTTGCAAAGTAGGTCGGACAAGTGGTGATGGTATGGAACAAGAGGATCTGCAAGAGAAAGTGGGGGAACAAGCTGTAGCAGCCCCTCAAACTGATAATCAGGTCAGCGGTGCTAATGACGTTGAGGTGTCGAATATGCGAAAAGAATCAATAACTGCTGCATTGGACAACAAACAGAAAACGAGAAAAACATCAAGCTGCTCAAACAGCGGCAAGGCCAACAATGGTTTACCATTGCCAGGCCTGCACACCCTCTATCGTAGGCCAGAATGTATTACACGAAGTTTAAAACCAGTCGTTCCTAAGGGTGAATTGATAATGATGAAACCCAGACTTGTTGATCCCGTAAATGCTGTTCCAGAACATAAAAAGACAAAACCACCCAAATTTATACCCTTTGAACCATATCCAGGTGCTGTTAATCCGATTGTGCCAAAAGCTCGTAGTGGTTCGATTACACCTAGAACGGGTAACACAAATTCGGTGAAAGCAAATCGCAATAATTTGGACATTGGTGTGTTGGTATCACAAATGTCCAGCATTAGGACACAGGAGTTACAAGATGCCAGCGGCACAGAGGCGACTTCCGATAGTAGCTATCCCCAAAATACATCGACTGTCAACTCAGAAGAGTTGGAAAAACTGAAAGAGGAATTGAAAAAAGTCAAAGAGGAACGAGACTATTTCCAGGGCCAATTTAAGTTTCAAACTCAAGTCAATGCAGAACTGAAAAATCTTCTCGTTGCCTCGGTGGGAGAAGATTTACTGACTAGAGTCAATGTATTGACTGAGGATAAACTTCAATTGGCCCGTGCTTTATTGGATACAGCAAAGAATTTAACCACTCACACTGAACAAATTGAATTCCTTGCCGGGCAGTGTGAAGTATGGCGTTCGAAATTTTTGGCAAGTAGTGTTATGGTGGAGGAGCTGGCCCGTTGGAAGGCCGATTTGACACAGAAAAATCAAATGCTTACCGAATCGACAAAGAAGCTGTTGCACACCACCCATCAATTACGACAAATGCACTTGGATATGTTGAAGAATTTAAAATTCTTAGCCAAGATACGATATCTCAATTTACCAGCTACAGATGTGGTTAATTTAGCTGTGGAAAATTTAAATATTTTACAACAAATGGTTTTACATTCCGGTGTGGGAATGCCCGAAGGTGACTTGACAATATCCTCGGCATCCACTTCACCACTCTGTGATTCAGAAAAATATGCTGTACAGGCGTTGGAATTTATTAGTCAACCTCTGATGGCAACGGATGAGGCCATTAAAGCGTTATTTGGACAAACACAACGACCATATGTCGTCACGCAACAAAGTTCCGAGGGGGTGGCGGAACAAAATATAGGAGATACCAAAACGGTAGAATAAATACGAAATATATAACAAATTATGTGGTTGTATATACATATGTTTTTAATTTAACAAAAGGAAAAATCAAAATGTATTTGTTTGTTCTTATTATTTTTATTTTATATATATCCGTTCGTCCCTTTTTATTTTATAGCCATAATAAAATCAAACATAAGCAATATTATTACAAGTTATACAAAAAATAGCACATTTAATTATTATTTACAATTTGTAGAGATTAACCAGGGGGAGTGATTTGAAATCATAAAATGCAATTATAGACTTAATAAATTGTGTTAAATCTTTTTCACTGTACCATACATATCCAATCGACGTTGAGGGAAAACGGTAATCTGTTGACGTACTGACTCCACCAAAGAGAAATCTAAAATGAACAAAATTAGTTTTTATTTGTTTAAAAGTATGTATAGAGGCCAATTTATAAACTATTTGTGGAATATTTTTTAATGACTTTTGCATTGTCAGCCTTGTTATCATTATTCTACAACAGGTCGTATAAACTGATAAGATTGTTTATGTCTTGTAATCATTTCTAACAACGTATAATCAAAATAATATAGTCAAATATGTTTATAATGAATTACTGAAATCCAAATTAGTAGAATTCCACTGAAGCTAAGATGAATCACAAGATCACAAATTTTACTTCAAAAATGTATTGTTTTTGAACTCCAAGGGAATATAAACAATTTGTTTCTATTTATTTTAGTTATATATTTAATTTGTATTCGGCAGGTGCGTTTTGGTTCTTTATCACATCAATATGTAAATTGTATGCTAAAATGTGTCGTCCATACTCCGACTGCTTATATTCTTCTACAACAACAATACTAGCTTATGAACTATAATTTTTGAATTCAAATTTTGCAAGTCATCAGTCTAGAACGCAAAAACAAACCACCAGACCGAAATACTAATAAAAAAATTCAACAATTTATTTTTAAAATAAAACAAAAGAATACACGAGACGGGTATATTTCCACATATTGTGCACATGTGCCACTCTAACATAAGGTAGACGGTATATTAAATTTGTCATTATTTTAGCTACTCCTCCAAATAATTGCCGGAGAAAATTCTATAATTCTCCGTCGCATTTTTGGGTCCATCATTTGTTAAGCAACGTCAAAGCCGCGAGCTCTGGAGGCCCAATAAGTATTCATTAGATTGTTAAACGACTTCGTCTCCATCATTGTTCTGCGGATTGCAGTCAGGGAGACCGACTACATTCGAAAAGAATACCTTGTTGACCTCTTATAAAGCAATAGGACGGTTTGTAGATGTAAGTGATATATAGCCTTGAGAACAGCACTGATGTGATGAGGAGATATCCTACCTCATAATCACCACAATCAAATGTTGTCGATGCAGTACCTGCATGGATATTAGCGTCGGGAACACCCCAGACATATTCTTATGGTCAGGCTTCCCCCGTCCAGGCACGTCAGAAGATTTCTTTATGATCTAGAGAGAGAGAGGTCCAAAAGTACAAACGTGAACCTCTACATCAACAGGCTGTCCTGAATGGCAACCAACAGATGAGATCGCCAGGGTTGTTGAATAATACTGTATGCTATACTCAAAGACCTAGACAGACACGGCTGGTCTTAGCACAGCCAAGAATCGGGATGGTGCAATCGGCTTAATTCCTACTGGGCATGAATTGACGGCACAATACATACATAAAATATACCCAGAGCCTTTGGACTAGGATATTTTGCACTAATTCAGCTGCCCTAATCGCGGGTAGAACTTTGGCTCGGTGTGGAGTTCCATTACAACCGGGTGCCATAGAAAGTCAGGAGTTTTATATGGGCTCCGCTTC